GTTTAGACGAGTGTAATAATTAATTTTTTAGCGATCTCTTTTACGCTGTGTTAGCCTCAAAACCATGTAATGAATTCTTTTATTCACAACAGTCCGTGCAAATGCAAGAGATCTGTGAGTTTGGAAGACAATGGAAATAGTTTGAAATCTCACGAGTTTTATCTAGTACATTTCTGAATATTTTGGCTCACAATTGAGGCTAACATGATTAAGCGTTATCCACCAATCTTTTCTTTTTTGTGTGTGAATGGTGTTTTTTTGTGGTTTGAATACATGAATGAAGAAGAGAAGGAAAATAATGAAGATAAAATGGAAGTATGAATGGGAATGGAAAGAAGGTGAATAGAGGGATGAATAGATGGGGAAAGGAAGGGAAGAACTGAAATAACAAATAAACAAAGAACTTAATAAYTAAATAACTGTAAAAGTAAATAGGGGGTTATAAAGAAAAAAATGGGTAGGTGAGTGAATAAAAACTCATATTCCTTATTTTCAAGGATGGGAGGGGACTAGGACAAAATTATAATGGCCGACACTTACTATCGTAATTCTTTATAAGGTAAGATTACCATATATGGTCAGCAAAAGTCTGGCAAACGAATGAATTTTTCTCCGTTCGAACCAATTGTTTGATATGAAATATGTAAATAACTAAATATTATTATTAGAGTCGTTCTCATTAACCCGTGGAACACACCTTAGCGTTTTATTCTTTACTACACTTTATTACACTTTCTCGGTTCTTTTATTCACGAGTAACACAGATATTTGCATAGGAATTTTTTCCTATTGTATAAGAACACAATACCCATGTAAGACTGACYCATGTGATTGCTAGAGTGAACGCACTTAATCCGTGCAACTGTACAAAATTTAAGTAGTATTAATTAGTGGTAAAAGTGGACCTGAGGCAATACGGTATTGAATGCTTCATTTGTATCAATTCAATTTAATTTGCGTTTCGCATGCATGATTTACTAAATACACCTAAACATCACTATTTAGTTTGTACAGTTGCACGGATTAAGTGCGATCACTCTATTGTAAATGCTTTTGAACGCATAAGCGCTCTAAATGTCAAGAAATGCGTTCGTGGAAAATCGCAAKGTAGTCAATAAATTGCGGAAATTGCAATTTTGCAGTTGTGTCCTTAATAAATATGAATTTGAAATTTTGTGTGGTGGGCAGAGTATTTAACCAACAGCACTATTACACCCTCATACACTTTGTCTCTCCTTTCCTATTACACTTTGTTCCACGGGTTATTAATGAGTAGACCTGTATCTGATTGATAGGTATCAACATATTCATCACAAAAACAAGTTTTATTTATTTTAATGGTCGTTTTTGTTATGGTAACTAATCAAACTAAACATTCAATTTATTGAAACTAATGTTTGTTAGCTATTTGTTTATAGTTTATATGTCTAAAAGTTATATTGACTAGTCTAGTACTCATTGCTACTAACTAGTTGGTCTATTTCTTTTCATGGTTGACGGAAAACCACTCTAGTGGAAAGTATTGCACAAATTAATATTTGTACTCTAACTGAAAAAATAAAGAATTAAAGAAAGCAAAGAAACAAATAAGTAAATAGATAAATAAAAAAAATATCCTGATAAATGGATGTAAGCAAAAATGTGTGAGGAAACTGAAAGAAGAAGGGGAGGGAAATGATAGTGGTGAAATAGTAAGGTGGTATGTATATGGGCAGGGGAAAGGGAAATCATTGTTGATGACTGGATGTTGTAAGTGTGTGGGGTAGATAGTAAGAGGTGAGTGGAATAAATGAGTGGGAATGAGATGGAGAACAATGAACATGTTGAGAAGGGAAGGATAATAATGAAGTGCCAACACCATTGAAAGTGCATGCATGGAAATTGACAGGCGGGGAGAAGAATAAAGAGACGAAAGGATGGCGAAATGCGAGGAGAAGAAAATGAGTAAAAAGAGTTAGCATCGGTAGTTGTAAAGGGATAAAAAATAGAGACATGAAAAAGTGAGTTTTATTGTAAGTTTTTTGACCGAGAGGAGATTGGGAATGAAATTCGTCACTTAAAATTCGGCGTCTAAATCAAATGCCGTATTTGATCATTTAAATCATGAACCCTTTGATTACCGTTGTTTATTTGTTGATTTTGGAGCATTTTCGACTATAAAAAGATGATGGAATATTTGACTTCCATATAAGGTGTTGTCAATCAAATTATTGCGGATTTGAATTCCCTATATGATGTTCATATCAACGTTTTACTAGATTCTTTTTAAGTTCCTACTATAACCAAACTATGAATTACCAACGGCAAAGTCATTTGAATTATATTTGATCAACCATCACAATAGGTTCCTTGGCCCCGGGGAATCGCCGCCTGTTGTGTATTTATAGGTAACGTAAATGGTTG